GAAGAGTCCTCTAGAGCTGGAGTTTCAGGCAGTTGTGAGCCATCCACCATGGGTACTGGAATGCATCTTAGGTATTTTGTAATGCCCTTAATTATGGAGCCATTTATTCATCCCTGAAACTTTAACCATAATACCATAATACCTCTGGAGCTATTTTGTGGCATAATTAATTTCTGCAATTACATTTTGTATCCTATCTGTAAAATTCATGACCTTTTAGATAGTAAATTAACTTTTATTTCATTGGCTTGAATATTTGGCATTGGCTGAAATTTTATGTGAAATTAAAAGTTATGCTATCCTTTTCCTATTTTGTATGCTCTATGAAAATATTTGATGGACTTTAGGAAATTTATAGTTTTCAAATGGTTTTGAAAATCTCACCCCCTGTCACTCCCCAAACATATATATATATATATATATATATATATATATATATATATATGATCACAAAAGCACAAGGAAGCCCAGAACGTGTCACTGTGACTCATGCTACCATTGTAACTAAGTTTTTAGTTGACCGAGTACTAGGCATATGCATGGAAATCCATTGTATCCGAACTGTCACTCAGAAATTATTTAAGGAATTAGAAAAAATGTATAAACTCTAAATGAACAAAATAGAAAGCCAAAACAAATGATGTCCATGCTATTTGGATAATCTCTTAGCAGAAAAACAATTATTAATCACTTTGAACAAGTAAATAAAAACAAAAAATACACAATAAACCAAATTGTTTCTTCTAATAGAAAAACAAATAACAGCCCATTTATTATCCTGATAATTAATTACCTTTCAAAGGTTTGGAAATTACTCATTTTGTCAAATAGGGGAATGCATATGAAGATAGGAATAAAAGAAAGATCTAATCAAAGACTATATACACTGTATCCAAATGACCAGTTCCCCTTACCCCTGTGTGTGACCTCCAGGCTCCTCCTATATCAGACTTCTAGGGAAGTCTGGAGGGTTGGAAAACAGGGGAAATCAAGCCCAGTGAGAGGAATGGCATGCATGTCAATCAGCCCAGGCTGCCATAACAAAGTGTTCAAGATGGGGAGGCTTTAAAAGACATCTTCCTCTCACTCTCTCTCTTTCTCTCTCTCTCTCTCTCTCTCTCTCTCTCTCTCTCTCTCTCTCTCTCTCTTCCTCTCTCTCTCTCTGATACCAACAGCCCTGATCTAAAAGCCACCAGGCTCTCTTCCTGGCTTATACAAGCCAATTTCATATTTTCCCCAGTGGTCGTTCTTTCTTGTAAGAACGCTACTCATGCCTGATTAAGACCTAACCCATATACCCTCAATTATTCTTAATTAACACAAGGGATTGGGCTTCAACATATGATGTTGAGAAAACACATTCAGTTCATAACCTATAAATGTAAGCATGGGGTTCATAGCAGCCAGAACTCACCAGCAGACTGTGTGCTTTCTCTGTGTTTCAAACCTAAAGGCTCCAACAGGAGGCCATTCCCCTGCCCAGTGATTCAGTGGGACCACCTTACAGTAAACTGTACCACATGCTTAATGATCATCTTTTCATTGCAAACTACATTACTGTACTATCTATTACAAAATTTTAAACTATGATAAAAAAAAAGATTGTGAGTGAAAGTGGCCTTATTTCACTTCAACTGTATTGATTTCCCAATAGTTTAAGGCAGCTGTGTTATGGAATCTGAATATTGGGTGCACACTAAAAATACCACCTCCAATGGCACAGAAAGATGATAGGAACAATATAAGCAAATGTGCCTCCACAGACCAAAATTATAACTGCTATGAAAGGGCTCACAAATTTGTAACTGCAGCTTTTGGGGCAGCAAATGAAAAGGCTCAGAGAGTGGAATCCGCATTAAGAGCCTTCACAAGAAGTTGTAGGATGTGTATGCAACCTGGATTCTGGGATCTGGACCCAAATAGCCCAGGATGCCAAAGAGCATCCAAGTTCAGGAAGGCTAGAAGCACAGGATCTCCTGCTCTGCCAGGAGGTTCTCTAGGAGCAGCACCCTTGATCTGCCAGAAATTCCTGTGCATGACAAGGGAGGAAACACAGATGGAAAAAAATCTATAATATATCTAATAGATTCAGTTTTTGAAAACTTTTTGTATTTGTTGAAATTTCTAACAGACAAACAAATGAAAACCTACAAATAAATGTGTATATTAATTCAACATAAGATTTGTGTTTCTTTACCTGTAGAGTGTGCAGTGCATGTGTGTGTGTGTGTGTGTGTGTGTGTGTGTGTGTGTGGAGATTTGTGTTTCTTTACCTGTAGAGTGTGCAGTGCGTGTGTGTGTGTGTGTGTGTGTGTGTGTGTGTGTGTGTGTGTTAATAGGTTTTCTTTTTCAGATAGTAATTGCAGTTTAATCCTCTTATTTTGTGTCTGGTATTTACCATCCTCAAAAAGGGGAGTTAGGATGTTTATATACAGGCCAGGAAAGTCATAAGATGATATTATTTAGTGAGATTTATTTATAAAGCCAATAAACTCTACATAATTTTCCTTTGACCATTTAAAAGTTTATAGGGCTATTGCATCTCATTAAATGTACAAGTGTTTTGTTGCTCAATAACTACATGCATGTCGCATAAAGATAGCAAAAATTAAAGCACTCACCTTCTACTGTTGTTAGTAAGGAGAGAAAAAAGAACTGTAGATGTTCAGGTTACTTAGAAAAGAAAAAATCTGTTCTATCATTTTCAAATTTGAAGAAGCTACACTGATCAACCACTTCTTTGTGAAGCATTATCTAGTATGTAAATTCTATACAGTGTCATGTAACTCACCTTCTGACACATTTCTAATGCTGGAAACCAGTTCTGATGTTGAGACTATGTTAGCAATCATTTGATTAAATTCTGACACCAGCTTCCCAGAGATAGTTCATATTTCATAGGTTCAGAGTTTGATCCTCCTCCCAGTGCCCCAACCTTCCATAGATCCATACTCTGAGATGACTATCTATATTTTGGGATTTCCACAATTAACTCTTTGGTTGTGATAACATGACAGCAGTTCAAGGAGCATGAGATATACTCTCCATAATCTAATCAGCTGATTTGAATAGACCCAACCCAGCACATCAGTAAGGAAGCTCAAGATCATGTGGGAGGGTTGCCATGAAGCCTGGTCAAACTTACCATGGCCTCAGTGCTCTGGGGCCCAGTGTCCATCCCCTGCCCAAACAGGAGATAGTAGGAAAGATGACAAGTTCAACCATCTGGTCACATGGTATCTCCTGACTTCACCTAAGTCACAGCTTGGAGTAAAGGGCCAAACATATGAGATATTTCTTTGCACATTTTTACTTGGATGTTGTATTAATTAAATTAGAGATGTTTCAGTTCCCAATGCAAAAAGGCATATAAAAGATACTTATTCTTGAAATGTCAGAAGTCTATTTTGTATATATGAAACTCAATAAAATAAACAAATAACTTCCCAAAGCCTCAAATCCTACATAAAAATTATTGAGTTAAATGCTTGATTTTTCTTGAGTATCTCATAATGTGTCCAACGAAATACCCCTAGCATTGTTTTATTGTTTACAGAATACAAGCTAAAAAAGTGAGTTATGAGAAATATTCTTAAAGATTAATATTTATAATTTAAATAAATATCATATACTAAACTACTTCTAAAATTGTAAGTAACAGAGAAATATTTATTCCTTGATATAATTAAAAAATCAATTCAGG